AAGTTAACAAATGCAGCAAGGACGAATCTTGCTGGGCGCACTCATAGCAGTTAAGCAGGGATCATGTTTTCCCAATTTTGTCATGTCTCAGTGGATACTTCGCCAAGGGAGAGGGGGGAACTTATATTGGATAAACAGGTGTTTACGAATATTAACGTCAATTGGTGTGGCTAAAAACGTTGACTGGTGGGTAATTCTATATTTCCTTCCTAAGATGATGTCTCCAACCCTGAATTACATCATTTTCAGTTTTGGTTGTTTTTTCGTTTGCATTTAAGATTGTAATAGTCTTATCTTATAAACCCAGGCTAGCCAGTTGCAAATTACCTATGTAACAGAGAGGTTTGTAATTGTAGAGTAATTGAATTTAAAAGAAAATTTTTCACTATTATCATTATCATTATCACTTTTTCACAACTATCGTATTCGTTTTTCTCATTTTTGACTTGCTTGAAGATAAAGCTTGAAGCATCTGGCCCACTCTCCATAAAGGTTGCCCACCCCTGACCTTTAAGATCCATCACAATCTAACCCACACCCGTAGTAACAAAGTTCGAATTATCACAAATCAAATTCATTAATTGGCAGTTATGTAATAGTACTATATAAAGTTTTTTTCCCTTTTTCAAAAAAACGAAAAATCAGCTAAAATAAAAACTGTTTGATAAATCAAGTATTTTGCCTCCACTTTTGAAACATATTTTCTACTTCATGTTTTTCTGATAGTTGCTATTCTTCATTGCTACGATTGTATTTGCACATGATGAATGAATCTTTGTTAAACTTGGCCACCTTGATGGATGAGATAAAGATCTGAAACATGAAGACAAGACTCTGTTTTCTTTGCTTGAAAAGTCAAATTATTTTTGGCAAAATACAAAACATAAATGTTTATGCCACGCCCATTTTACCGCCATGAAACGCCTTGTTACCAACAATGAGCGCCAATATTATCTGAAGGAAGCGCCCGGAGCTATAATGTGGTTACATAAAAGCAGTTTCAACATTATAGGAATAGGAATACGTCACAAAAATACTACGAAATTATTGTTTGCCCCCACTGCCTCCCCCAAATGGCACCGCTATTATCAGGGGGACATATGAGCCTCACTGTAGAACAGTGCTATAAAGGGCTTCGCAATGTTGAGCGCTATTTCGCAAGTCTCCTCAGCATACTTCTCCTGAATCTGTAAATATCAAAATTGGAGAGCTTCCTATCAAGCAGAGTTGTTATGTCAAATTTCTTGGTGTTCTCTTAGATGAAAGCCTTTCATGGAATTATCACTTGACTGAACTGTCTAAAAAAATTGGCCAGAACGTGTGGTTTGTCTTCAAAGTGAGACACTTCTTACCCATTCATGTTTTGGTCTGTCTTTACAACTCTTTGTTTTCACCTTTCCTCCAATATGGTATTTTAGTTTGGGGTCTTACCTATGAGACACATATCAATCCAGTGTTGTTGTTACAGAAAAGGGCCTTAAGGGCAATTTCATTTGAACACTTTACTGCACCTTCTACACCCATCTTTTCAGACTTGAAGATTCTAAAACTACAAGATCTCTTTCACCTGAAATTGCTTAGTTTTGTATATGAATGTGTAAATAAAATCTCTCCTTCTTGTTTTCACTCTTTCTTTAAGTTAGTTGAGTCTGTTCATCAATATGGTACTCGGCAAGTCATCAAAAATAATATTTTCCTAACCCAAAAAAATACCCTGCAATATGGTCTTAGGTCAGTGCGTTATTGTGGAGCTAAATACTGGAATGACACTCCTGTGGAAATAAAACAATCTCCATCTGTTAATAGTTTTCGTCAAAAAATCAAAGCTTTCCTATTTGAAACTAATTACTAAATTTTGGAAAAATGGATATAATAAATGTCACCATCTGCCCATCAAGTAGTTTTGTCAACATTATAATGTCAATTAAAAAAATCAATTTTATATGAGGTACTTTTATAATAGGGGGTGGTCTCTCCTCGATTAGTCTAACTACTGAGAAAGCTCCTCCTGTAAGTAATTCCTTCCATACAATCTATCCTGTGTCTATGTTTTGTATTGGTATATTGTATTAATTTCTTGTATTTTAGATGTATGCTTGTCTTGTTATTGATAAATTGTATGTTGTGGAATTTAAAAAATGAAAACTGAACTGAACTGAACTGAGCTTCTAGGAGCATATTTACAATAAAATGCCGAATATGTATGCATTCAATACTCACTTGCTCTTGTTGTGTATTTTATCGTCACATTTTAACGCATACGATATTCAGCATAAAAGCACGTCGGCGTTCACTGTGAGTATAAAGAAACAGAGACAAGATAAAAGTGTATTTTAAATTTCTTGCCAGCTAAGACAAAGTTATAAGTCTTTCTGCCTCAACCCCTTTCAGACTTACATGAAATGCTGCTATTTCAAATAAATCCGCCCCTAATCACAGCCCTTAGTATTTTACACTGCACTTTTATATTAATAATATTACACTCATTTTATAAGAATATTATTGGTGAAAATATTCAGGCCCAGAATCATCCAATATTGAAGAATATTATAAAAATAATGTTGAACCTCAACTCGCATAATTTTTTCTCATTTTCAGCAGTTGCCTGTTTTGCGATGTTAGCAACAGAGAACTTTTATAACTAACGTATCTTGTTTCTTCAAAAAATGTGGTTTCTTTTTAATTGTGGGCTTTTTTCTCCTGAAACCACATGAGATTCGAAAAAAATGATTACTTTAAGAATATATTTACGCGCAATTAGAAATATTTCTTTAAAATTTCAAGGCTGGAAATTTCAAAAGTGTATTAGCTTTTCTTGAAATTTATATAAACGTGCATACGTGTCAAAGAGGCCTATTTGAACGTTTTTTGCATTTTTAAGAAGCGTTCTGGCCTTTGCAAAATAAACATAGATCGCCAACATTGAAAAATATCATGCTTTTTTAAAAACAAATTTTTTGAAAATATCTTAATTAAGAAAGGCTTGTTGGTTCCGGAAATTTCTCGTTTCTTACTTTAAATCTTTTGCTATTACTTTGCTGCTTGCCAATGATAACACTTGGCTGAGACACAAATTTATTCAAAAATCAGTTTTCCTTGCGAACTGCGACTTTAAATGTACAGCCTTCCGAGAAGTAAGAAATAAAATGAGAATCAGATTTTTTTCCAAAAAAAACACTTGAAGGCACAATTAAGGGGCAAATCTAGAACAAGTTATTAGCTGCCTTACAATTCGGTGGAGTCTGCGCGGTGCCCCAAAGTTAACTTCATCATACCATGTACTTTAAACATCTAAAAATTATTATTTGAAACTAAATGCATAGGATGTGACTATAATTTTCCTATGTGGAACACTATTCTTCACAGTCTAATTCCCAAGCCAAAATGTATATAGTGACACAAATTTACTTTTTCTTAAGAGTAGGCATGCAGAAAGCCAATAATTATTGCATCCTAAATAGGGAGAAATGCCCGGAGCGTACCAATATATATGTATATGACAAGCTGGGATTGAAATAAATGCCTATCATTTGATATAATGCCATATTTATCCACAGTTCCAAGGCTGGGCGAGGAGACCAAGTTAAAACTGTCATATATGACTCCAAAGAAATTTGATGAAACACTTCTTTGAGGGGAATACCCCTTTCGAGGACTCCTTTTTCACCCAATCGAGAAGGAAAAATGAACGGTTGTCATCTAGAGATCCCCTTTGCTCTGTAGTACGAGTGTCGTACGACCGAAACTGCCAACCACTGAAGGAAATGACGGTAATATCTTTCTTGCAATTTTATTCGATCTTTGAACCTGATTTAAGTTTCTATCTAGTTCTTTTGAGACTATAAAAGCGACCTGCCGATATTCCAGGGGGTGGCTCAAGGCTCGAAAGGAAAAAATGCAGAGATACAGCGATCCACTTCTTGCCCCAGTAAGGGCAAGATCGCGGGGATGCCTCGAACACGATGGGTCCAGTGCTTCCACTTGGAAGGATTTATCCTTTTTTCGGGATTTTTTGTCAATTGGAAGGATAAAAGAAGGATTTACAATTTAGAAGGAATTTGGAAGGATTTTCTAAGAAATTTGGAGGAATTTTTGGAAATACGACAAAATATCTAGAAAGTTATTAAAATAGATTTTTGGCAGTGTCTTTCAGAGCTTTCTCTTCTTACACTTTTGCACGGCTAAAGCAAATTAACACCTCAAACCGATAAAGAATTTTTGTTGAAAATATTGTCAAATTATTGATATGTTTTATGAAACGAATGATCTCTGCGATGCCCAGTTTGTAGAGCATAGTGTTTCCACAAAATCTTGGGTGCCCCCCACCCCACAACCCCACAACTAAGATGCAGGGGGCGCAAAGTTACCCAAATGTGGCAGGTGCCAGGACTATCAATTTTTCTGGATTTGCGTCCTTAAATATACTATGTCTGCATGTTGTATGCGACAGGGGTGCGACATCCCCAGCTCAGCATACTGGTGCACTGCTGTGTCAATCATTCGTCATATTCCTATACTTTAGATTAATTTATTTTGAAAGAAACATCAGCCTAAGAAAAATTGCTCAAAGGTTGGAAACTTGGTGAAAGCTTTTGCAATCGCCCCCTCATTACATATAAGCCCCCTCCAAAAGGTCTCAATCTAAAAATTGCCTAAATTAATAAGCTCCCTGGGGGTAATGCGAGTATAATTCTCCTTGGCAGAACTGATAACTGCCATTGTGGCGTCGATACCCGCCATTACTAGAACGAAAATAGGTCATTTATCAATTTAAATCGATTAACAGGGCAGAAAGAAATTGGACGGCTTTTTCATAAATTTTGGAAGGAATTATTAGTAAAAATAAGGCTTTTTTCGGTGTTGAGCAAAAAGTGGAAGCACTGGATGCATCCAACCCGGAACCAGCAGATCCTGTTGGAACGCGTGCAGGCAAGAGCTGTATCCATGGCAAAATTAGCCTCGCGCAATCCCCTGATGTGGTTATTTACTTAAAACTTCCTAGTAACTTCCATAGGTTCGATGTAGGAAGCAAGTGGTAATCCCCATCGAAGAGCGCAAGGAGAGTATGAATATGTTAGGGTTTCTTTAGAATCTTTCTCATCTGCTATACGTATAGTCACTGTAGAGCATTCATCATGAGCTCGTCAATTCCTCTTTGGACAGTTTTGATAATCTCGTCATTGGCGATGGTGAGAAAATCTTTGGCGACGTGCAGCGGGCCACCGAATCAGCCAACTGGCAGCAATGTTTGCAGTGTAAGACGATCGTAAGTATGGCATCGAGCCGGCCTAATTAAGAAATACCCAGATAAAAGTTGTTATTCATTTAATACGTGGTTTGGTTATGTCCCCATACTTTTTAAAAAACAAAAGAGCTTTTTCCAAATTCTTGTGTTATTAGCCTTTATTTCCACCCCCTCCCCACTTTCCACCTTGTGCAGGAGGTCTATAGGCCTGACGATTCAGACGGTTCGTTCTGACGATTCGTAGGCAAACTACCCGCCGGTTTACCTTTCAAGCTTTTTAGTAAATTCATCCATAAGACCGATTTAAGTTTCAAACATTACAAATACGATAGTTTACTGTTTTTCATATTTTCATGGACAAATATAAATTCCAGGTAATATAAAAGCCTTCTAAACCTAGACAACAGCGTGCAGTTTGTGAAAACAATCCTCTTGTTTTCCAACTTTTTCAATTATCAGTTTTTGGTCCGAACATATATTGATTCTCTTTCTCGATACCTGTTACACTGTTTTTTCATAATCTGCAGACAATTTTTTAACTTTTGCCCTGTAAAATATAGGAAATTTTAGCGTAAAGTACTACTAAGAATTCCGGCTGGCCTCATAATTTACACTCTTTTTTTCTATAAGAAAAAAATTAAGAACAAGCTGAGGCTGAGCTTCTTCAACGTTTTTTCTCAAAATCGAGGATTTTTAGCCATGTGTGGGTGCTTTTTCGGTGAATATTCAAACCTGTCGGCAAATGAAGGTTGTCTCACTCACTTTGTTAGCAAATGAGGCCTGAACACCTCCCTAGAGTGAAAGGCTAGCACTCACACTGCTTACACCCTATTAAATTAAGAGCAAATTAGGAACAAACCAGCCTCAGATTTTCGAAAAAATTGAGAACATTCAGCCTGAACTTAAATTTAAAGCTGATTTCCACGAGGCGAATTTCGCAGCGAAATCGATGCTAATCGCTGACGAAGGCATCAGGGCATGCGCAGTTTTGACTTTTGATTTCGCAGCGAATTCGCAAGAAAGTAGAAAAGAGTTTTACTTTTTCGGGGCGAAATACTTTGTAGCACCTAATAACCAGTCAAAGCATGGCAAATTTGCTTGATTTGTAAGAAAACAATCAATGGAACATACGCCGTGAGTGCAGTTCTGAAAATTGGCGCCTTAAAGTTGAGTTTTGGGGGAAATTATTATATAATTTTGCAGCCAATTCGCAGTCTCGTGGAAATCAAAGACAATTTCGAAGTCAGCCTTGTGGAAATCAGCCTTTACTGGTTGTTATAAAAAGAGTGTACCTGGACTGCCGGGCTGCCATACTGAAGTAAAGCTATTGGTAGGTGGGTGGTTGTAGCTAGGTACTCTTCAGGTTGGTGATAAATGGATTTTAAATAAACACACCTACGTTATTTGTACATTTTTTATAGTCTATGAATGTAAAGATTAAAAATGTATTCCATGGAAAGGATATTGACACCAATAACAAATTGAATTCTTGATCCTTCAAAGAATGCTTGCTACACTCGAAAACAGGCAAGTTAAAAAGACAAACGTTACTATTGCATACATGTAAGTATAGGAAAAGTGAGGGGTAAAAGTCAGGATAGTTTTACCATATAGGTCTAAAATGTTGCGAAAACATTAGTAGCATTAAATGGTGCATTCATCCAATTTGGTACCTAGAATCCTTCAAGGTGCTTTATATCTTCTTTGAAAAGGAATTAGTCTACACCAACAGAGTCCACTGTCCCGCCAGTGGTAGCAATTGAAATGTATTAAGAACTTCTCCTTTATGTGTAGATTAGAAGAAGAAAATTCCTTCTATGTTGTCAGCCAAAAATATATGCACTTGCACTTGGCTTGTTGATTGAGCATTTCTCTGTTACATTCAGTGCCGTCGGAATGAAATTCATGTTTGGTGGCTGCCCATTGTATTGCTTCCCATCCAGTACACTTTTGTAAAGGAAATATGCTACAGTTTGAAAATTATTGGAAACTCCAGCAATTGCAAAATTATTGGAAACTTTTATTTCCAAAAATCCGTTGCTTGATCACTTGCAACGATCAAGGACTGTTGACTATTGGATTAAGATATGACCTAGCCAACAGTGCGGGTGTTTTTTAGCCTAGTCACTATAATTCCTTGGCAAACTTTCTTCTTTAAAGGTATTGTGTCCAGCTAAAGCAAGCGGGTTTTTAGAAACATGGGATTTTTCATGTCATTACGGTCCCTTCTGTTTATCTATCCTGCTGCGAGGTTATCTTTTCATGTGAGCAGTTTTGCATCGCAAGAATACTAACCAATCGCAAACCGTTATTTTGATGGGTGGCTTGACAAGTTGGGTATACGCAGTCCTTTTATATGGACACATCACCTTTAAGGAAACATTCGTTTGTCCCAGAGCCTTTTGTTTCGGCACGGAATACAATCAACTGATTTACACGAGACGAAGTTTTCACGCGAAGCGAATTTCTCGCCACGATTTTTTAGCTGCGAGTTTTTCTCTCGAATTCGAAGTTCAATTTACACTGGCAGAACTTTTTATGCGAATTCCCTGCGAAGAGTGCTCTTATCAGAAAGCTTTACTGGATTAGAAAAATTTATTCAGGACGTCTTCAGAAGGGGGAATTCCATCTTTCGGTAAGAGAGGTTTACGTTTACATTAATAAGACAAGAATAACTTCTTCCAATAATTTCAAAAATAAAAGGTTGCCATCGAAGCTCGCACAAGCATGCGAGACCCTGTTAGTGCATCTGCTTAAAATTGTTGGTGTTGAGCAGGCCAATAAGCAGCCAACAATGCAGCACTTTGGATAAATTCTTGCCAATTTTTTTTATTTCTGTCATATTTGTAGAACGATGAAACTTTCAAGCCAGTTTTCGTCAATTTAAAGTTCAAATGTTTGAATGATAATCTGATATGAATCCACGTACATGGATTGTGTACGAGATGGGAAATGAATAATTACGAACCTATCATATTGACATCTTATAGGCGAGAGCGTTTGAGAAAAAGAATGCGGAAAGACGTAGGCCATCTAAAACCAAAACGGAAGTTAGGTGTCTTCAAATGCTGTTCTGATTGGCGAAAATTTTTCAAGTTTCCAGGGTATTTCTAAAGGCCGGGTTACACGATCACTTTTTACCATCACTTTTTTTGATATTGGACCAACATGCTGAAAAGTGATCGTGTAACATACTAAAATTTTCCATTTTCGCTGCGGAATTTAATGCGCTTATCAGGTGTTAATCCTCTATCATTGGAAATTTTACTCTGAACGAAAGCAGAGTAAAATCGAGTTCATCACTTTTTTTCAAAGGCGCCGACAAATCCTTACGTCATATAATGTTTTGATGAGAAGGAAACGGCCTAGAGTTTCGAGAAAAGAAGAAAATAATGTGAATTGTGCTCAGAAACATGATTATTAGCAGAAAACGAATATGAATAATGATTTGGAGTAAATCGAAGAGCAGCCAATTACAGAAAAATAAATGCAGTTTAATAAAATACACTCATTTTTATAAGAAACAGTCCGGGAGATTTTCGCTGACCATTTTTATGGACCTGGACAAGTTCCATGGCAATGGAAATCTCTTGTTGGACCACATGACTGAACTGAACTGCTGTACATATATAAACTATTTGGATACTTTAATGATAAACGTTTGATTTCTTTCCTAATAGCAACATTATTTTCCACTGCACTCATTTTTATAAGAAACCGTCTATAAGAAACCAGTAGTCGAAAATGAGAAAAGGTTAAGAAACTCCAATACTCGAGCTAAAAACAACTAAAGAAACTGATTTAGATTGATAAAATGCAGAATTTTCTAGATTTTCTATTGCTAATTTTGATTAAACTTACTTATACACTACAAACTTACAAGAAGAATAAAAATACACAGTGATCAGCAAACCAAGTTTAAAGTATTGAGGCTCTTGTTTTTTGAGAATAAAATAGAAAAATTCCAAAAACTCTTGAGTTCTGAAACTTTGTGAACCTTAAGAAACTCGCGCACTCAATGTCGAGGATGGTTTCTTATAAAAATGAGTGTATTTTATTAAACTGCATTTATTTTTCTGTAATGTACTGCTCTTCGATTTACTCCAAATCATTATTCATATTCGTTTTCTGCTAATAATCATGTTTCTGAGCACAATTCACGTTATTTTCTTCTTTTCTCGAAACTCTAGGCCGTTTCCTTCTCATCAAAACATTATATGACGTAAGAATTTGTCGGCGCCTTTGAAAAAAAGTGATGAACTCGATTTTACTCTGCTTTCGTTCAGAGTAAAATTTCCAATGATAAAGGATTAACACCTGATAAGCGCATTAAATTCCGCAGCGAAAATGGAAAATTTTAGCATGTTACACGATCACTTTTCAGCATGTTGGTCCAATATCAAAAAAGTGATGGTAAAAAGTGATCGTGTAACCCGGCCTTAAGAATTTTTCACCACTGGGATAGATAGCCAAAAGAGGCCCTGAATTTTTACAGTATTCGGTTACCACGGGGTGACCACAAAGGGAAAAGTTAAATGATTTTAAACTTATCATTGATTTTTATAGAAAAATGGGCTGAACGTTTCATTGCTTTTCTCTGGCTTATGACCAAATTTCAAAAATGCGGGCGACAAGGTTTTAGATATATGTACTCCTTTACTATGCATAATTGCATAAAGCTCTTCGATAATGACGCGTTCAGCGTTAACTTTATGTAGCGGCGGCTTTTTCCCTACTGCTTTGTATAGGAGATGCGAGCATTACTGTTGCGACTGATCCCATGCTATTTTCTCTTAATGTCTCTTTTGCCTTATATGCATTACCATTGGCTGGTTGAAAAATGTAAATAAACAATCTGATTGGCTTAAAACATTTTTCATCCTTGTTTATCGTTGATAAGTATGTAAAAAGGAGAGAACCAAGGACAGAATCTTGTGGTACAGTACAATATGATATATTTCCATTCAATCACTTGACTTTTAGTCTCACATAGCATTCTTAAACCATATGAAAGGAGAGACAAGTACGAGTTGATGAAATTGTATTTAAGATTAAACATTACCCTTCCAATAAGTTGAGATTCTGGTAAAAGAATGCTGATCGGCAATTTTTTTTCGGGTACGATAGTCTTTTTGTCTTTTTTAAAACGGGTGTACTTGAAAATATAGCCGTGTTATATGCCATCCTATAAGAAGGGGAAAGTTCCAATTATTTCTTCGAAAAGTATTGCTAGTTGCTTTGAAATTATGTTAACAGCATTAATCAGTATTTGTGAAAAGAAAGCATCAATATCTGTTGATTTATTTATTAATTTAAGTAGTTCAATGAAAAACTGTCATTAGATATTGAAATAACATGAAATACTGGATTAGATAGACTAAGAAAGTAACGAACAAATTCTTTCACTGCATACATGAGCTCATTACAAGCAAGCTGAAGGAAAGCAGTTGACGAGCTTGTCTTTTATATTGTTTTCTGCTTTATAATAGTGTAACTGTGTTTAGAATCAGGTTAGATCATAGAACTGAAGTTGAAATTGCAAAAGGGTTTCTTTTCTTTCAGCTGCATACGATCATACACCGTGCAGGTTAGTGTAAGAACGACAAGAGCAACAACTACTCAATGTGGATGGTGGTTTGTTCGCAAAAGATGCGGGGCAAGGCGGTATGAGCTTTACTGTTGGTCAAACACAGTGTGCTGGTCAATCGTAAAAGTTGCAATAAGCAATTAACATAGAATTTATATCGACGTGATCCCAGCGAATATTTACGACAATCATAAATATATTTTTATCAAATGGCCAATTGAAAACTGATGCTATTCCAGCCTTGGGTTTCTCAGTCCTTTTTTGAACGCCAGTATAATCGTTTTCATATTTTCTTTTTACTTTTTACATCTGAAAGAGCTTCATTTACAACTTGAAAGTAGGAAAATGGGGTCACATGTAGAATGGTTAGGAAATCGTTGATTAGCGATCTATCTGACAAAAAAACCGCATATTTCTGGGCCCCCGGTTATTTCCTCCTCAGTTTTTTTCTCCCCCGTCTTCCTGTTTTTGTAGGTTCCAAACATGTCTACATTCCGTAGCTTTTGCTCTTCTAATATTTTGTTTTGCTTGTGGAAACTTCTCTTTTCCCAGGACGATATACGTGTTGAGAACACAAACAAGGCAAAGAACGGAGTATTTTACTGTCAACCAATGTTGCAGTGGATACCAAAAAGATGCTTTGAATAAATGCCAACGTAAGTTCAAACATTTTCACATTTATATGTGTATATTTTCAAGAGATGCTTCTAAAACCTTAGTTGAACAGGCCAAAGTCCAACTTTGCTCCATGGAGTTCAAGAGCTTCAAACAAAGAATCTTTTATTGGGTATATTAACTCGCATTTCTTAAAGATATAAAATCTTGGTGCTGCGATAATTAATATCAGATGATATTTCTTTTAAAAACTCTATTTCTTTGTTGCATTTGTTGACCTTCGTTAGATAAAAATTTCATATATAGAGCCAGAAGTGTAGAGCTAGGGCGCTGAGCCCCCCTTGTTAATGTCTAAAATTGGTAAATTCCTCCTTTGCTATTGTTTTTTGCAATATTTTGTGCAAGAGCCCCCTCTTGTTATTTTGATAGCACTACACCACTGTATAGAGCACTTAGCTTAACTTCTGTTCGTGTTTCATATAGAATGAAAATTTGTATGTATTCTCTTAAATATATTACCTTCTTTTCACTGTAATTTATAAAACTTTCTATCGATTGTTATCTCAGACCTAACTTGAGAATTCAATACCGATTACTTTGTATTCCTAGGTCGCAATTCTTTTCCTCTTGTACTTTTAATGGATGCATTTTCACATCCATCTTTTTTCTGCAACTTTGCACATTCTCTTTTAGCTCGATGCAACAGTGGCTGCGTAAATGGTCGCTGCGTAGCACCAAATACTTGCACTTGCAATCCTGGGTACCGTGGAGTTGATTGCAGTATCAGTGAGTGCAAACATCTTCAGCTAATCAAAAGTGTCCTTTATTTCCGAATAGACTGATTTCTCTAGGACAATTTGTCGACAAAGCTTCGACTAAAAGAGTTAAGGGAGATGTTTTTAGATGAATTCTTTATTTACATTGAGATATTTCATATCTTGATTTCCTTTTAAATTTTTAGGCCCTAAGATAAAGGACTTTCTGTCTCTTACAGGAAAAGTTTTGGTAACTTTGTTCTTCATTAAACGGAACAATACGCACCAATCTTTCACATTAGCAAATAAAGGATAGGGCCATGAAAGGCATTACCTAATACCCTATTTCTGTTCTACCAGAATCCTGGGTTGCGAGATCAATCTACTACTGAAAAAATTGACAGATAAATTGATATGGCTAAAGCCCTCGTTCAATCACAATTTGCCAATCGGTAGACCTGTGTGTGGTATGTCCCTGATTGGCTAATTAGCAATTAGTATTTGCCAGCCTTTAACTAACGTATTAGCATCATATGCTTTAAGGTTCAGTTTCTTAGCTGCCACTTCGCCATCTTCCAGAATGTCCCAGAGGTACTTACGGCCCACAATGCAGTAGACAATGTGACTGTCACAACCGGGCCACATGTGATCACATCTCAGGGGCATGCATTTGTCCAGCTGGTTGGACCGGCTCAACTTGTAATACAACGTGTTCAAACGGCACATTTGGTCTGAATTGTAACCAGAGATGCTTGTGTCAAAATGGAGCTAGTTGCAGTCCAGTCGATGGTTCATGTTCATGCGCAACTGGATTTACCGGAATACGGTATGTTATTTTCAATCTTCTTTTACTTTTTCAAGTTGTTTAATTTTTTTAAACAGTTTCAAGCACAAGCTCGGAAACCCCCTAGACCACAAGCCCTGAGGATATAAGCCTACGTTACACAAAAGGAATGGTTTCGGAAGGAGGGTGGATCTTCGCTCTTTACCCATAAAACTTCTTTTCTGTGAAATATCTTTGGGTGTTAATATTTGCCTAAGAATTTTCATTTTCTTGTTAAAAGTCCTGAGGCAAAAAGAGAGATGGAGCCGTCATTATAATAACTGTGATTGTTTTTGCTATTGTTAAGAACTTTGTTAAAACTTCGCACAATCAGACGTTATAGAATCCTGCATACAAATATCAAAACGTTCTGAATGAATTCTGTAAAAAAAGTTATAAACACATTTATTTTTGCTAGTAATTTACACTAAAAGAGCATTTATGGTATGGTTGTCTCCACAACATCCCAATTTATCGTACCGCGTACGGCTCTTTTCCATTTGGTTACGGCACCAATTTTTATTTGTTAATCAAAAGTTCTTTATTTCATAGCTGTGAGAACAAGTGCCCTATAGGAAAATACGGTGATGGTTGCATCAACGACTGTCCTTGTCTGCATAACGCGACTTGCTCACATGTGGATGGAACTTGTAACTGTTCAGCCGGTTGGAAGGTATAAAATCTATATTGAATTGACCTAATAGCAGTTTAAAGGCAGTTTGTCCCTTAATGCAAAATCTTATTTTTGCTGGAGGTAAATTCATTCTTGATTGAAAAACTAGCAATAACAGCCAATCAGACTCTGAAGCTCATATTGAACAGTTCAAATGCCATTCTTCATGGCAATCATTTGCTAGGCAGACAGACTGCATTATTTTGTGCTTTAAGTTAGGGCGGCATCACAGTGATCATTCTAATTTTGCTATCTCATATAAGATCAGTGACGTCAGAAGTCTCTAGAGATGCTTGATAAAAGAATGATATATTGAACGATTGAAATACATTAGAGAGTTTTGTCGATAAAGCTACCTTTCTAGCTGCTTTTATTGCTGACTGAGAACTTCCAAGTTAAATTTTAGATATTTTAATCAATTTTTTGTTGCTACCACGGTATATAACTTGTTGAAACAGCTTGCGTGCTCAATGTCCTATCGCAAGGCATATTTTTTCACTTCAAGCCCCCCTTCACTGCAAGCTCTGTATTTCATTTATAAGCTCTGAATAATAGACCAGCAAGTTGAATTGCTAATTCATGAAAACTGGGGTCGGATTCCTGTTTGAAGACAAATCAAACATCACTTGTATTTGATGAGATAATGACATACTTGGATGTCAAGTATTGTACTTGAGATGAAGCAAAAATTCATGTATGCAAACTGAGTTGCACAAGGCTCTCCATCTCTATTCAGGCCTCTCTCAAATAATCCCCTATTTGAAGAAAAAGAAATAACTTATAAGACCCATTACCTTTTACAAGGCTGCAAAGATAACTGCATGGGCTAGAAGGGTGGTTGTTTTCTAAAGTAAAAATTTGTTTGTATAGATCTGACTTTATGCCTCTTAACAGAAAGAAGACAGTTGGTTTTATTTTACAACAGCGACTCAATCTTTAAGCATCCATTAATGATGCAGATATGATCCAGAAGATTTGCATCTGTGAAGGATACAGAATTGGAAAGCAAAAAACTAATATTTCGATTTGCAAATTACCAACTAGGTTGTATTCTCTGCCGCAATGATTTGAATGTTCATATTTTTCTTCACCAGGGGAACATTTGCAATCATCCTTGCGATGAAGGGACTTTCGGTAAACATTGTTTACAAAGATGTGATTGTGTAAATGCCAGGCATTGCGATGCAAAGACTGGGCAATGCTTCTGTCATGCAGGCTTCTTTGGTAACAGGTAATGTTTATCTATTCAAATTGCAGTCTAATGGCAAAGTGATTTTTCAGCATACTTAGTCTGTTCTCTTTGGAAGCCAGACTACAGGTCCAGTTTGCAAAGTTATATTAAGAAGACCTGCAATTAGATAGCGTGGACGGTCAAACAAGGAAACATGTGGTCGGTTTGCTATTTCCAATTTTGCAATGCTCTAAAAGTCATCTTTGTGCCATGTTCCTAACACACTTACTTTATGCTGCAACTTCACTATCGAGTGTTTCAATTTCGCTTAGTGAATTTCATTTTTCCGGCATTTTTGTCCTACTTTTTACATTGTTATATAGATTGTTCTAGTGATCAGCGCTACTGTCCGCCTGTATTAAATTATCGTCCCATAAGGGTATCAAAAGCTTTATTTCAATACCTGGCTTTTATGCATTATCTCTGCTTTTTTATTTTTCTAGGTGTGACAAACCATGTCGGAACGGTACATTTGGCATCGACTGCATAGAAAACTGCCTATGTAACTTGAATCACAGTATATGTGACAGGGTAAATGGTACATGCCATTGTAATAAAGACTGGACAGGGGAGCATTGCAACACTCCCTGTGGCGAGATTGATCCAAAAACAAATTTAACTGTTCCTTGTGAGAAGAATTGCAACTGTACAGTGAATGGTCAATGTGAAAAGACATCAGGGATTTGTCTGTAGGTCTAGTCAAAAATCACGAACTTCCAACCTATAAATGTGGAATTTTCCTAGGTAAAGAGGTGCAAATCTCTAAACCTACAAAATAAACTCTTAAAATTATCAATACCTCTTTTTTCAATTATATTTCGAATAGCTAAACAAACACTATAATTCCAATAAATGCTAAATGGTTTAGTACTAAAAAAGCATACAGGTCAACATATTACAGTTTGTTGATGAAGTTTGGGTGAAATTTTACAGTGTTTGGTTCTAGGAGGGGTTTGCAAGATTATGCAGAGAATTCTATGTATCTTTGACACCCATTACAAAACACGTATATAGTTTACTTCTGCTCATTCGTTTTGTCTTTTATTTGTCTGTATGTCATTTTTTCTTTCCTTTGTTAGTTGTAATCCAGGTTTCAATGGCACTAGATGCGAAAGCGAGTGTCCCACAGGAACATATGGTCACAACTGCTCTTTGCAATGTAATTGTCAAAACGGGGCGATATGCTCAAAAGCAGATGGGAAATGCAACTGCGCTAACGGATGGACAGGCATTTTCTGTGAAGACAAATGCCCTAATGGGTTCTATGGGCCTGATTGTGACACGAGATGCAAATGTTCTGCTCATAGTGTTTGCGACAGATTCACTGGTAACTGCCAATGCACTGGAGAATACCAAGGGAAATACTGTGACATTAGTGAGTGATCCACTTTCAATTTTCATCGTTCAGCTGATATCTTAAGTTTTCTTCCAGTTATTTTTAAGAAGCTTAAAGGCTACGTAATCATTCTGATACTGTTGAGGAAGGTGGTGGCTCAATTTTTGGTTTGCAAAGGTATTGTAACGCGCAAGAGTTTTTTCAATCAAGAAAAATTTGACATGATATATAGATGGATTGTTAGAAACATTTCTTCCCCTTCCATTTTGCAGCTTGAAAAAAATTGTTCCTGGGATTTATAGTTTAATACTCCCAATAATAATTGTCCACGTCGTATCACTATAAAGTCTTTAAAGATGAAATTATATTCAAGTACAATGTTTTTACCTTGTTCACTTTTATTGCTAGTTTGTGGAAATTGGACGTTTGGGTCTGGCTGTGCTCAAAGCTGCGTGTGCAATCAAACGACTACAGAAAAGTGAATTATATCTTCTTTATATGGATTTTTTGTGGTTATCTTTTTTTTGATATAATTGTATGATTTTTACTGTATAACAAACATTTTTTGTGCTAATAGAGGAAGAGACAACATTCAAGAGACCTTCAATCTTACGATAGAAATCATAAACTTCATTTGGTTGCAAATGGGTTTTCTAATAATAATAAAAGGAAGTCTTGCAATGAAATTGCATTTTAAAACAAGTTGCATTCTGCTCTAGTGAGCCTAGCAATGTCCAATCGCTTTCTGTTCCACTTACAGATATCCTTAACTTACATAGCTTCTGTACTAAACAATGTTCGCAGTGGCGCCGGAGCTTTAGGGGCTGCCGCCCTACCCTAGCAAAATCAAGCAACTTTCTTTACTTTGCTATTGTTTTGCCCTTTTTCATCGCCCTTTGCCCCCTACCCTGCAGCCCTTCTGTCGTCTCTGAATGCTTGCAAACAAAAATACTTCTTTCATTCATCTTACTGATTTTGTTGTTTCTACCAGGTGCAATGCATTAAACGGCAACTGTACATGTAAACCAGGATGGGAGTCACAGGATTGCTCAGTAGAGTCGGGTTTGTCTTCTGACAATATCTTTTATGATAAGTAATTAATTTCAGTAGACCGACCCAATAATTACATCATTCTCTCCGCAGCGTGCACTGTAATCTGAGATTTTAGGTTAAACTTGAAAGTTAAGCCCTGGTCAAAGAATTAAACATCGGCATAAAACATGTTTTATTCGTTTGGCCACCACGTTTTACGATGTTTTACGATGTTTTACGATGTTTTACGATGTTTTGTAAAATTTGATTTCCATCAAACATTTCGTAAAACATCTCTTCTGTCCTCATGTTTGACCAACAATGTTGCGTTCGTTTGGCCACCCCTTAAAACATTTGTCTTACTCACGCAAGCGCAGTAGGTTAAAATTCGGCAAATACAACGCAGTAACTGTAGGAAGCTGTGCGGCAACGCTTGAACCTCACAGATGTTTATCATTTGTTTGATTCGTTTGGCCAGGTCATAAAATATCGTCCAACAATGTTGGTACAAAATGATGCGGATGTTTTATTCGTTTGGCCAGGTCTTTACGGTTTGTGTTATTATTTCGGATGGATGTCGAAGGTTGTGTATGGATAATTGTTGTTAAGCGAGATGTTATTATTGGAAGGACGAAAAAAATCAACCGAAAATTCTGGGGAGGACATACCTAGTTCTTTTCAAAACTTTTTTCCAAGAATCTGTGCGAAGGAGGCGTCAGATATAGAATCATGTAAGGAGTAAATGCTGCCCACAACTCCCAGAGTTCAGTGTGGGCCGCGAACACTTAACTTTGTAACTAGAACTTTGTCTTCTGTCTGACTGTACCTTGATTCTCTAAACTGGCAATTTGCTTCAACCTGTTGTTACCTTATAAAAACTCCTGCAACTTTTGCAACCTGTTCAGATCCTAAATTTTTGCCTATTTTTTGAATCACTTCTTCAGTTCTAATATTTTGCTGACTTCTTCTCTCGTAGTCTGTCCGCGTGGAAAATTTGGCCCGTATTGCAGGCAAACTTGCCTTTGTCAAAATAAGGGAACTTGCGGACACTTCGATGGCTTTTGTACTTGTCGGCCTGGGTACATTGGAGACAAGTGTGAGCGAAGTAGGTATTTGGTAGAACCTTTGATGTTATCATAGTTTTATGATAAATACGATATATTTTGTTATGTGTTATGAAGTACTTTTCTAATATGTACTGATTCTGATTTTGCCCATGGTTCTATTACACGTTTTCATTTCTTCGGTTATCAAATTATGCTTTGTACAATCAATAACATACTATGCTATGAATATCATTATATGCGGTTCATCTAATTCAACACAGACAGGATACTTCAAAATTTTGATCAAGTTGCAGGTTTGTATGTATTTGTCGAATAAATTACTGGATGTTGTTTTAACTGTGATGTGACTTCATTGTAATTTCTGGAATAATGTTAAACTTACTGAACATCACTATTTGTTTAAGATCTTAAGCAATCCTGGAACTTGGTTTTAGCTATTGAGTTGTCAATTCCAATGATTATCTGGATTAAAAGCTTTTTTGATATTTGGTAAAAAAATGTGTGTGTTTTTAGACTCTTTTTCTCTGTCTTTTAGAATGTCCAGATGGCAGCTTTGGACGAGAATGTAAAATGGTTTGTGCGTGCATGAATAACGCAACATGCAATCACGTGGATGGTGCCTGTAGCTGCAAAGCAGGATGGGAAGGAATTACTTGCAATAAAAGTAAATTGTCGTTTATTTTCAAGTTTACATGGCGTTGTTTATCAAGTTATTCATTTGATTATTGTCATTCAGTCATTTCTCTACATACGAAATAAGAATTCTATTGCTTAGATACGACATACAACGCAATTTAAATATAACCAATAAATAACAAAAAATGTCTGAAGTAGAAATTCTTACGGAGGAACCCTCTCAAAATTATGCTAATCAAAGAGAGAGCATTCTTTATGTCATACACAAAGCAATTCCCAGCCAACAAAAATTGGCTTTATACTCTGTCCGCTCAGAATTTTTTCAGGGTTAAACAGAATAGAAATAGAAAACGATAGCAAAAGCAAAGAAAAAGAAACAGAAAAACGAAAGAAGGAATTGGAATAAGTGAGAGCATAATGTTGTCTCTTCTCTAATGAATTGTTTTGCACCCACGAAAAATTTAGTGTCACTCTTCCAAATCTGCATGACTATAAACTAGGAAATATCGGAACCATTCATTAGCATTTGATTAAGAACATCATGTGTCATATAAAATTCAAAGCACGAGAGGAAATCTTAATCAAATCTTACTCCTAGAGCTAGAGCATTTCATTGTTTTTCTTGCCAGCTTGCGATGGCTCAAAATATGGCGAGCATTGTAGTAAACCTTGTGACTGCAAAAATGGTGCGCAATGTGACCCTGTTGATGGAAAATGCCGCTGCACTGCTGGCTGGACTGGACAAAAGTGTGACAAATGTAAGTTTAATTTACATTAGATCCCATTTTTACCTGTTTGTTGTAAAGTTGCATTGAATTCTAATAATTACCAAAGTTTTAAGATACCTAATAGCTAACTGAAAAGAAAATACCTTTCTAACTTTAGCATGCGATCAATGGTTTTATGGAGAAGGATGCCAACTGGCCTGCTCTTGTGTACAGCATAACTCGATCTCCTGTGATTCGAAGAGCGGCAGCTGTAGATGCAAGGCTGGCTCACGAGGTGAAAGCTGCGATAAAGGTATGTTAGGAAAACGATTTTCTTTTTGCAATGATTCCTCTCTTGTAATTGATCATGTAGCTTTTTCAATGCCACGCCTAGCCAGATCCATTTGTCTCAATGATTAAGGCATACGTCTACTTTGACGTAAGTACAAAACGGAGTATCTATTTTTGCTACAGGTTCAGTTTTACTTATAATTTTTTAAATTTTGTGCGGCCGCTAAAAATCTCCATACCTTCTTAGCAAATCACGAAGGAAAGTTACTTTTATTGCATTCTTATTTGTGTCTGTCGATCTGGTTTACTTACGTACATTAGATATCTAGATCTAAGTGGTTCGTATCTGCATCATTTTGCTTTCGTAGATTGCAAAACTGGAACTTTTGGACCTGGATGCTCCAATCAATGCTCTTGTCATCCTCAAAACGCCAAAGATCTGAAAACTTGTGACGCTGTCACTGGTCAATGCAAGTGTAAAAGAGGCTGGATTGGACGAAATTGCTCTAAACGTACGTTAGATTGTTTTCAGATAATAAACACATTCCATCATTTCAAAATGCTTAATTGTTTGTTCAAAATTAATTGTTCGTGGTAATAATTTAACTGAATTCGAAATGCAGCGTCCATGTTTATAGTCATTAAAGTGAAAATTAGGCAATGTGTACTTTCATAAAAGTTGGACATTAATTTTCTGCACAATATTTCCTTTGAGGTTTTATCTTATTTTCAAAATCTCCTAAAAGTTCTTTGTTATTTGAGCCTGCGTATCAATATGAAATTGTAAGCTAGAAACTCTAGCATGTCTAATTTACCTTGAAGAGTTTAGCTTTGAAAGTTCCAGCTTGTTCTTTGGATAACTTTACTTGGATATTGAGACAGATAGATCTCCGTATCTTGTTGTAAGGTGATACGCACTAATAAATTATATGGCATTGAAATAAAAATACTTGTTGAATGTCAAGAGAACCCGCAAGTTTGCCTACAATGACGTCATCCCCTGGTAGCTCCACTCTCCTTGTCTTCTTATACTTAGACCTATACAGCTGTTGTTGAATGATACACGGGAATGATGTTTTTACTTTCCCCGACAGAATGTGACAAGGGATTCTTTGGCCACCAGTGCCTTTCTGCTTGCCCTTGCAATATGGAGCATATGTCTGGCGATTGCCATCATGAAGATGGGTCTTGCTTCTGCAGTCCAGGCTATCAAGGGTATATTTGTAATGACAGTAAGTAAATTTAAATCTTTGCTATTGTACTCAATAATCAACATCGTCATTGTACTAGATTGCCCCGAATAACCTCAAAAACATTGTTTATTGCAATTTACAGTTACATTCTTCATCACTAAAGCTAGAAACCAACTTTGCATTTTTCTTCTTCATTTGAAGATTTTGATGATATTTTACTTACAATTTATTCTGCATCTAATGCGACATAAAAAGTTAAGAAGAAATGGTTTTCAATATGACATAAAAATATTTTATCTTGCATTCTGTTATGTACGAGGCCTGATCTAAAATATATTTACAAGTTATTATATAAGATAAATTTGCTACTTAATACCATTTAATGTCGCTATCAGTAGCTAAAGATAAAAAAATTAAACAACATAATGACCTAATTTAGAGGTTAGAATTGTGTGTTTGAAGTTAAGGTTAATAATTTAAAGTTGATATTTTATAGCTTGTTCGACTGGAACTTTTGGAAAAGATTGCTTGTCAAAATGCAAGTGCACAGGATGTGACCACGTGACTGGCTCCTGCACAGGTATTGATAATGTAGATAGTTTCGCGCAAAAACGATTAGTTTTAGTAGACCTTTTAGGATATAATCAGGTTTTATGAATGACATCTTGATGCACTGGTACAAAAAATTATCTATTTGAATAAGAAGTTAAAAACTAATGGAGAATTAAAAGAAACATTTCAATTGTCAGAGACTGCTTATCAAAATTTATGCAGAATTTATGAGCAGTTTGCTGTAGTACGTTTAGTACGTTGATGATTAATTTAAGCGAAAAATTTTTGGCTTGGAGCCTATTAAAGAGATATTTCACAAATTGGATTTGATTTCCTTCCGAGGAATGTGAAACTACAGACTCCGCCTTCTTTTCTGGTAAAAATCATCAATCTTATGCTTAGTAGAATCAATAAAGACGACATACTAACGCGCGATTCCCAAGAACTCAGCGGATTTCTTCCAAACTTCACCCTAGGTCCTAGTATACCTATGTTATTCTCCTCAAACATTCACGTGTTTATTGTTAACGGAAGGTGCTTTTTACCGCGACATATTGGCATGTTGGTTCTTGCCATCTAGCATCTAAATTAACATTTTAGACACTGATACCAAGTGTGACAAGGTCATGTGCAAATTTACTCTGCAAAAGTACAAATTCAATACTAAATGGGACATAATGCTATATCTTTTATGTTCCCATAACAAAAATAGAAATGGAAATATAAGTACACGAAATTACTTTTATTGGCTATTTCTACAAAAGAATGAGATTTCTAATTTTCAAAAGTTTGTAAAAAAGTGTATGTTTCAACCGAATGTTATATACAGTTAGGATTTGTCTACTGAATCACAACGATTTCGCAACATCGGATTTGTCCACTAAATCACAACGATTTCGCAACATGTAGAGAGTTGACAATAAAATTTTCATTGGTGAACAATCATTTTTGGGAATAGTGAACATTCTTACTACGTCTGTCTTCCAATCTTTTTCAGGAGCATCATCCGCCAATAAAACTCCAGTCACTTCGATTGCTGTGCCAGTAGTTGCTGTGTTCCTAGTTGTTGTTTTTATCGTTCTTGCTGTGCTTTACTGGAGACGAAAAACATCAATGCATTCAACTGGAGATAAATCAGATTCACGGTAAGGCTAAATTAGTACTTGTATTGTACTCTTTAATCGTTAAAAACAGTGGCGGACATCTGGGCGAGGGAAGCGGTTGCCTCCAAATATTTTAGAGGACAATTTAAATTTTTTTTTCTATTTAATTTTATTTCTATATTATGCATAATCTTGATGTGATAACTGAATATTACACAATCTTGATATCAAAAGTGTTTTTTGGCAAAATTTAGACAATTGCAAGTCGCTATAGAATACATCTGTCTAGATAACAAAAGTCACTTTTGATTAAATGTGCGCGCTTTCAATGTGCGTTGGTTATATCAAAATGAATGTTTGAACTCTGTAAATGATGTTTTCTTTCCAGGGTTACTATGAGTGGCCTTCCTGACGACGTTTACACCGAGCCTTTGCCACAAGCACCAGACAGTTTTAATGCCTTCCAGAACCCAGTCTATGGGATCGTTGGAAGCACGAAGGAGCTAGAAGTTGAAAACTCAGCATCTTCATGTTAAATGCTGTTTCAAAAGTCAATGTAAATTTGATGCGGGTGTACATTATTCTGAATAACTAGCATTTTATGATGTATTCTCAGTGTTTGTGGTTTCAAGTAATACCTTGATATACCTTAGGTTTCATAATTTTATTAAATTTCGTACATAATGCACATATTTTCCTCTAACTGCACTTTTAAAGGAGTAACTTTTATAAAATGTCAGCTAATCATTTTGCTATCAAACTCATTTATCAATCCATTTGTGATGGAGCAGGCATGATTTAATCTTATATGAAACTTTTGCAGAAATACAGAACATTTATAGCAAGATTTGCTAATAATTTATCCTGAGAGTTCAGCATTGATCGGCATGATACATTAAATATCCTAGATGGTGAGTATTATCACTGCTGGTAAAACACAGCCAGATCGGCACTAGATTTCGTCTCCCTGGCTTGTAGATTTTTTTACTTTTCTGTCAATTCTAGCTGTTAGTTATATAGAATATAAGCAATACCCAGGGACGCCGGAGTGGGGGGGCGGGGGCGGTCATCCACTTCTGTTGCCTTTTGATAGAAGGGGCAAGGGAGGCCAAAGTGCCCTTTTCATAAAAATGCCATTGGTTTGTAATTATCAAAAGATTCATATGAAATTCTGACTGTCCAGCCTTATTCGTGACGAAATGTCTCAAAACTTGTAAAGAAATTTATATTGCCAAAATTTAGACGATTTTCAAGATACCTACAGAAGATCGAAACATAATGACAGTTACGAAAGAAATGATGGTAGCTTGGAATTATTTTAAATGCCCTTTTACTCAAGCCTGCTCCCTTGCCCCTTGTCCGTTCAGGCGTCCCTGACAATACCTTTGACAAAATGAACATAAATTCATCGCTTTATTATAACATTTTATACGTATGTGGATCATACAGTAAGAATGATGATGTCAAATTGAATTAACTGGAACATTTTCTTCGTTCCTTTCATTGATCAAATAAATCTACATCCTATCTCTAGCGGTTTGTTTATTGCTCCATTCTGTGTTGAGGATTAGGGTGAAGAGCCGGGAAACTTTTCAGTTAGGTGGGAGGATGGGGTCAGTTTTGTGGGAGGGTGGGGTCAGATTGGTGGGAGGGTGGAGTCAGTTTGGTAGAAGGGTGGGATCAGTATAGTGGGAGGGTGGGGTCAGTTTGGTTGGAGGGTGGTGTCAATTTTGTGGGAGTTTGGGGGTAGTAGTCGGCAAGCTAGGTGACAGAGAAAAGTTATCGGGGACTGTAAAGGGTGCCTAACTGGGTGAAGATTATCCAGAAAGTCCTCTGCATAAAACTAACGCTGGATCCCCTAAGAATGATTTTATAATCTCACAATTTTATCCAAAACCATCTCTATAAATTGTTGTCTGAGGGGCTGCAGTCCCCAGGCTCAATAGCTGGTATTTTCTACAGCTTTGGTGGGACACCAATGCTTATCTGAGGTTTGCATTGTGTAAATATTTGAACAAGTTTTGTTGGAAATGGAACCATAGGCAAAACTTCTTCGTGGAAACTTGAGGGGGAGTCTCTTTCGAGTGTGGTCTCGTTTCGAACTTAGTATTGTGGCCTAAAGTCGGCGGAAAGCTCTACAAAACAGCTGAGAAAATGACTTAAATTCTGATGTAAGTTTAACTAAAAAGATACAATAATAATGCCTCAGTGTGCAGATTGTTTCGTGGATACTTGCCAGATGTGGCGAAAAACCACAAGGGGACTAACGGTGTGCAACGTGTGTCATTTGAAACGAGTACAAGCAGAGCAGACGGCCTCTGTTGCAGCTAGGCTAAAGGAGAAAGGAAAAGAGACTATAAGGCAATCTTCAAGGAAAAGTAAACCATCAAGTAAAGCAGCTAAGCTCGTTAACGGAAAGATTTTGGATCGAGCCACCAAAGTGCCAGGTTTGAAGAACAGAAAAGCTTTGCTTAAGAAAAAGGTATAAATTTATGCAAGCAATCTTTTGGTGGTACGAAAATTGAAAGTGATTTTGAAAAAAGCAAACATTTGAGTAAATTAAAGCTTTTTATCTGACACTCTTCAGAGTTTAAAACGTCAGAACAAAGATATAAAACTCTACGCTAGGAAATATATATACCCGGTTGTGGATCTGACGTTTTAAACTCGGTAGAGTGTCAGACGAGAAGCTTTAGTTCTCTCAAATATTCGCTTTTTTAAAATAAAGGTATATATTTCTTATTAACATAATACGTTTTCATACATCATCGATATAAGACACTTTGCATCCAATAATTTTCATGAGAAATTGATATCATGTAAAAGGTAAATTAATTTGACAAACATCTAACAAGTACATTTGGTTGTCAGTTGAGGCACAATACTGTGGTTTAGGCCCATCTCATGAAGGGTCAACCTATTATTTTGATTAAAATGACCTGATACTTTAGTAACAAGATACTGAAGTAAATGAAAACACAAGTTTAAACATTTGCCTTCCCAACTGCACCTCCTAGAGCAGCAAATTCCTTGAGAGTAGCTACCTCTGTTGTTGTGTTTCTTTCACTCAGAAACAAATTCGCATCATTGTTTTTCCTTTCTTAAACTTCTACGGCTAAAGTGCACAGGTGCTATATCTCTCTTAGAAACAAATTTTTTCTGAAAATGTTGGTTGGGCATTTGGCTGGGGCAAAAATTAGAGAAAAATTCACTGTGTAGACAGGAGTTTTTGCCATTAAGGGGTTTGTGGTCAGCAAATTTTCAATCTTGTTAGCAAATAAGGATGGCTCAACCACATTGTTTGAAAATAGAATTTGAGCAAAACTCCCCCCCCCCCTTGAGCACTAACAACAGCCCTATGCACTTTGCAAATAAAGACAGTCACCTCTGGTTTAAACCTCATGCCAAAGCACAAATGGTTCTCCTCAACTTTTATTTTCTAGTGTCTGGAAAGGTTTCTCTTCTGAACAATGTTACAGTCAAATTCAGCTTTTTTCTTGTGATTTGAGAATTCTTTCCACAATATACTCGAAATATGTCATTGTATAATACAGTTATGAATATAGCAAAAGTTAAAGAAATTTTTTTAAGCCTATCCTATGTTTTTGTGCAAATTATTTATTTGTGATGCTCTAAAAGTAGATTACGCGTTGAAAATCTTGGTGACAAATATTCAAATTTCTTTTTTTTTGATTTTCTGTGAATAATGAAACCAGGGCAATTTTTGCAACATCTATACTAACTCTGAGGAAACATTTTTCTCATTTAAAGATGTGTTACTTGACACCAATTGATAAATTATGGCAACATGTTGTCGCAATTTTTAAACAAACAAGGACCTCTGTTCAACATGGCACTTTGTTGCCTGGCAGAAGTAATTTTCATGCAATCTTGAAGGATGCCTAGAAGCGAACAGACACAAAACATGTGTCTCGGGTGGCCACTTGCCATACTCTGCAGTCTGGTGCGGGGAATTGCTTTCACCTCCACCCTGGTTAGGTCATTTGCTCCGACTTATTTCAACTTTGAATTAATCAAAACCTAAATTTTTGCCCAAGAGATACTGAAAAAAGAAGCAGCTCAGGTATTGATATATCTCAGGTATTGAATAAGATCTTGGTTTATCTGAGGCTCTTCAACAAAAGTGTAATGGGGCAAACAAAAGTGAATCAGAGTTTATTTAAAAGTGCAAAAATCATTCCAGACCAGGTGCAACAATTGTAATTGTTATAATCTTTGATGTGCTCCTCACAAACTTTCTGGTATGACTTGAACCCAGGGTTTTAGGGGCTTTAAGAACTTCTTTCTGCCAGCAGAAGCACGTCCCTACAAATGAAGTATGCTCAGCTGATGTTTTGACCTGCTATAGAAATGATACTGAATATAGAATAATTCTGAATATAGTCCCTCCAAAATACTATCCTTCCCAAACATAATCCCCCAACTCTGGGATGTAATCTCCTTTCCAAATTTAAGCCACCCCCCCCAAATAAAATGTTAGAGCTTGTGTTTAGAATTAGACATAAAAGCACAATTTTCTTTCTTCAACACATATACACACCATTACCAAAAAAAGTAAAAGAACAATAAATTCTATGATTTAGTTTTTCTCTAGTATATTTTTTAAAAGTTCGTAATGCCTGTTACCTATAACATTATATACCAAGGACATCTCAACTGAATTCCAATTATAGTTCGAGGATAGTCACCCTAAATATAAGCCCCTCAAAACAGCCCTTTGAACTGTCCTGAGCTTAAGCTCTGGGCTTATTGTCAGAACTTTACAGTATTTGTTTAACAATAAATTCTTAAGTAACATATGATATGAGAATTGATCTAATGTTCCCAGTTTAAAATCATGATATCAAGATCCAACTCTTGCCTACTTTTAGCCGTCCAAGTCTCCAGTAGTTACTTCAGCTGTTGTTACAGCAAGCAGTATCTATCACAAGGTATGGTTTGCTTTCACTTTTTTAGTCCAGCTGACTTTGGTTTTCATTGATTTTTACAGACATCAACCATGACTTTGTCATAACTTAAAATCTTAATTTTGTAATATATACTTGGTGAGCAAAAGTATTAGGCTGAGACAGAAATGGCCGCACCGCAGCAAAATTTTTTTAGCAAACCAAAATTAAAGTGGCCATAGTAAGTTTCAAAAAAGTTGTAAGATGACTTTTTAACTGGAATATGTTGGATAATTTATCAAGGTTTGCTGGTGAAAATAGTTAGTGCATGAATATTCTTGATTTTTGCCTATTTCTAAACAATATCGACATGTCGCAAAAACACAAAAATTGAGCCATGATGATTGAAGTACCTGTGAAACATTTGCAATAAAAAGTTCATCTTTGCACCAATTTGCGATATCTTCTTATAATGAACTCGGGGGTACTTACTTTATGCTTGGGTGTCTAGAACTGCTCATCTTCCTCACTTTTCTTGGAATATCTGCTAAATGTTTTGGTCGGAAATTTTTGGAGCCACAATGGGCCTAATCGCAGCGGCCGCTTCGTGATATATTGCAGTAAAATTCAATCAGTAAAATGTGTCACAAATCGTAAAGTCCATCTTCTCGACCCGATTTCCATTTTGCAATGGGAACAAATATGCTGCAAATTGCGTAAAACAACATTTCGTCCTCTCGTTAAATGAAAATACCAAAATTCCCGCGATAAACAGGTTCACTCAAGTGCTTCAATAGCTGTAAAAGAGTAGGCTTAATAAAATGGCTTAAAACATGCCACTTTCCACCAAATACAAATCCATTTATGATCAATTTGGTACTTCACTACCTAAATGTGATCTTGCAAATGTTTTTCTGAACATGTCGCGTCGCGATTAACAGTACCTGTAACAAAACTTTTTGACAAACTTCTAGCAAGTCTCATAAAGGTTTCAAAGCTGGAAGACTGTCCAATAAAAAGTTGAGGTTTTTATCTTTTGAAAAACTAAATTTTTTCAAGCTTTAAATCAAAAGTGTTGCCAACAGTTTGAAAATTGATTTGATTTGTTTTTAACTATAAAAAGACGCCTAATGGCTTCACAAAAGTGGTTTGAATTTTGATCGCCTTGTTGTTGACAATGCGGTCGCCATTACTGAATTGTCAAACCTGTGCAATACTTTTGCTCACTAAGTGTATATATTGGCAACTGTATTTATGATTACACCATATAGTTTTGTTTCAATGTTCCTCAATAAGCTTGTTTTTTAAAAAGATCTTGAGCTTACAATTAACAAGTTTTTTTTAACAGGTTTATCAGATTTGAGGCACCACTACCTTCTGTCCAAATATTTTTATACTCTGTTCTTCATATGTTCAATATATTTATTTATATATATTCAGCATGTTCAATATATTTATTGGCAGCAATTTTTAAACTGTTGTGTCAGCTTTACTTTATTCAATTTAATATGGACCAAATACTGACTTAATGTGTATGTTATCTTTTTTGTTTTTGTTTCTTGTCAGGGTCTCCTTTTCAAGGAGGGAGATGTGGTCTCTGTAACAGATATAAGTGGAAAGAGGTACTTTGCTCAGATAAGAGGGCTACTTCAAGATGTTTTCTTAAACAAAAGTGCTGTTCTTAGCTGGCTGTTGCCAACTGTGCCTAACCCAACAAGATTTGATCCTGCAATATTTCTACCAGGTATTTATTTGTTTTTTAAGTCAGGCACAGTTTTTAAATGTTGATGATAGTACCAAGCTCTATTATGGAAATTTAGTGACTGTTTTATAGGAGACATTTTGTTCACACCAAAAGGCACTGCTTAATTATGGAAACATCTGGATACAAATGATGGAACAAGCTTGTCCGTAAATTCCTAAACAAATGTTTTTCTACACTTTTTGGACTAGCATACCAGTGTTCTTTATAATTCTGGCATTGAATTGCAAATACCCTTAATTAAGACATCCAATGGACAAAAGTCTTCAACTTATCGCAAGCCAAGTTTGGGTAATCTTGACACAGGAAAAGCAACACGAGCATCCCCTTTCACTGATTCAAATCAAGATTGAAAATGTACACAAGGGTTTCTTACATGAATGATTCTTATTTTTTAATTTTTTTCAGTTTCATTTTACATTTTGTGCTCAATTGCATTTGTTTATATGATTAAATTTAGGTTACATTGTAAGAGGGTTTTAATTATTTAAATAGTTTGGAATGACCGGTAGGTAGCACTAGTGGAAATGCTAGTGGATCACCTTAACTAAGTTTGATCATTTCATATTTCCTCAAAACTATCTTTACATTAACTACACTCAGTTAACGTCAGCTTATCGTGTTTCAAATGAAAATAGATGACATTATTGTGTGATACTGAAAAAGACAAATTCTTTTTCCCAAAAATACCTTTCTCATTTCAATCTGTTTATTTCTAAAGGACCAGATGAAGATACTCCTAGACCAATGGAATGCTTAGAGTTTGTGTCAAGAGCTCCTACAAATTCATTTAGGCTAAGAACATCATATCCTCCATATCAAAGGACTAAACCAGATTTGAACTCTCTATTGTCGGTGGCAGAGGGTCTGTTAGATCCAGCAAACACAGAGCTGCCAGGTGATGTGAACACGATAGATGAACCAAATTGAGCTGTCTGTTACATTTAGATTCCAAATATCATGGAAGTCATAAAGATTTCATATTTTGACAACCTTCTCAAAGTGATTCTTTGTTATCACTGTTGATGGAAGAATTCACTATGTAAAGATTTCACAGACAGGGTACTTGAGCTGTATTTAAACAATTTCCAGACAGAGTGCCAGAATTTTGTATATACTGTTGACACTTAGAAGTACCTTAATAACTGAATCAGTATCCAGTTGTTATTTTCTAGGATCTTGTGATTTTGTACAAATTGACATTAGAATGTTTGGCTGCTTATATACTATGCAATTATTTAACTGTAGTCAGATATATTCGGCAGAGATTTTAAATCATCCTTTAGCAATAAATTTTTGTTTGCTAAGTTGTCATAATTTTCTTTCGTTGAATTATTGTCACCTCGTTGAACATTAGTGATACGATAAATTCTGACAGGTGTATTATTATCAAATATATAAGTAAACTTTCTGGAGGCATAAAGGAATTATCTTTTCTTTTTCACCTTTTGCCACAGAACATATAGCCTCTTGTTATTTTCTCAAAGCATTTTGGTGCCATTTTTGGTTAAACACTTTACCGTTCAATGTCTTATTGTATTTTGAACTGCATTATTCCATAAAGAGCTCCCCAAAGTGTTCTTTTCAAAATATATCTAGTTTGCATGCTTGGAACTTTGTCTTCCCACTTCTCTCTTGACAAAGGGATGAAACTGTTTTCTTTCAATTCAGTTAAAAAGAGCAATTTTTTGAAAAGTCTTCCTTGTGCTTCTCAGCCTCAATATCCCTCTTACTTAAACACTCTTGTAAGGAGTAATGTTTGTATCAAGGCATATATCCATAAATTTATTCTTCAAAGAAAATATTCTAAGAAATTGTTCATCATTTGTATTGCAAGTGGTTTGATTATCTTGTTCACTGTCTGATGCCAAGATAACAAGAAAATAATTTTCCCTTCCCCGGAACAAATTTTCATCTGCAAGGAAATCTGCAGTGAGACTGATTTTTTACTGCAAAGAAAAACCTTCTCTGAAGTTTACCTGGAGTATTTCTATGTACTAGGCCTTTTATCGATTTGACAAGATGTGAGCATCACAGCTCACATGGTATCAAACTGGAGAAAAATTTCCCATAGTCAGTAATTATGTTTGATATCCAGCAGGTCTTTCAATACACCGTTTGAGAGTACAATACTATTTTTTTGTTTACCTGGTAATGCATTAGTATCTTCTGATTTTAGTTTGAATCTTATTTTTAGCCATCTGTCAGCTACTGAGCATTTTAGTCGATTGGCAGGTAATCAGTGATGTCGCAACGGGGTGGCGGTGGACTGATGTTGATTTTCTAATTTCTCGAAATCCGTTCAAAACCTCGGGGTAAAGGGTTGATCAGATTGATTTCCATTTTCGCGCTTTCAAAAAGCCCCCTTTTCGCAGAATGCTGTTCGAGAAATTTGCTTTTCCAACAATTTCGACATTGGTAAAAAGTACTGAAAAGGCGTTCCCCACGTTTTCCGTGAGTCTGAAGGGAGTGGACGAGAAATTTTTCAGTCCACCCCAGTCTTTCCAGATTAACAACGCCTCTGTATGTAATGTTTCAAGGGGTAAAAAAAGAGCGGCGTTCACATTTACACATTTGATCCTCAACTTCGTGATAATTCTTTTTGATGTCAGAAGAAAAGAAGAACCTCTATGCCCTACGTCATACCTCGGGTTACAGGCACCGAAAAGCTTTGAGAAACGAAAAAAGTAGGGGTGGGGCTAAAACTGTAAGAAAAGTGGCTTTACTGGTAGTTTATTACTTAGTCCGCGGTGCCTGGAATACGATAAAAGTAACATACAAGAAAAGCTTTCAATTTTGTTCTTTGGGAAATTCTTTGCAAGTTTCTACCATAATAGTACACTTGTACGTGAGAAGAATTTTTGTTTTCGGAAACCAAAAAAATTTTTAACCAAACCCAAACATGAAATTCTGATCTATGGAAATTCAAATCTGAAGCTTTGGAAAATTTGTGCCAGAATCTGATGATTATTTTAGCCGGGAAGAACGTCATTCGATTTGACAAACTCGGGTAGAAACTACGCTTTCAAAACCTTCAAATACAGCCGAATTTTTTTTAAATTAGTAGGTCTTTGCTTTTCGAAAGGTTGTTTGTTGGGCTTATTTCTCATGATGTCATGATCCTGTTCTGTTCGTAGCGCCTCTGGGGACAGGGTGCCGCAGTGTAAAATGGTTGTTTAAATATCGAGAGATGTGTTGCGAAGACTGAAACTTTAGAGAATAACGATTTGTGCGAGCGGCTAGTACGAAACCTATACTTTACTTCCCATTCCCCGTATGTTACAATCCAAGGCTAAGCTTTAATCAAACCGCCAACATAATCAACGACGGTTCTCCGCGAACTCTTATACTTATAACAATATCCCAAAATATGTAACAACTAACGAGGTACAGCGCAGTCTTTCTCAAGCACTGCTTGTCCTATATACAATCTTGGCCGCAAGAGCTTTCGCAAGCCTCTTGGGCGATACGGCTAGTTTCATTCTAATGTTTAGCCTTTCGTGTCTGTACACTCTGAATATCTCTCCAAATCTCCCTAAATCTAACTAAGCACGTATATTTGTATGTGCAAGTGCAAGGAAATTACCAGAAAGCATAACTAAGCATAAAATGTTACCTAAAATAAAATAATGACTACACAACATGATGTAATTGTAATCCTAATGAGGGGGTAATCCTACAACAATAGAATAGAATGCAGTGTAATGCTGGGGATTTCTTAAGAATCTACATAGTATACAAAATAGCTACGTAAACAAAACAAAGTGTAATTGGTAAATAAATCTATAATTAGGCTGGTATTATTTTAGCTCAATTACAGCATTCCCAAATAATTTATAGAGATTGGGTATAGTGTATTCTTTTAAAATATTCCGCATGCTTTGTGAGATAATATTAGGTTACATTGTTTGTCCCTCAAGTCAATTAAAATTGACCAGTTACGAAATTTACAATTGTATTAGCTCGAATTAATCATAATTATATATAAAGGGTAGAATGGAAATCATGAATTACTCAGAAAAGCTTTTGGATTTTCAATCGGGCTTCTTGAAATCTAGTCATTTGCTGAAGGGGGACTCCCCAGATTTAGCTAAAATGAAATGTAAGCAAATGTAACCAAATGAATTCAGTTTAGTTTCAGTTTCATTTCATAAAATTAATTTAAAGGTGTTATTGCTTGTACGTTGGCAAACATTTTCATTCGTTGCACATTTTCTTTGTTGCAAAAAGTAGCCTTGAAAACTTGCTGACTTATTTTCACTTTGTTACCCCTATTTACAAAGCTTTCAATAGCAGCAAAAGGTTACATATTCCGTAATTTTTATAGCAGTCATTCGTTCTTTGAAATATTTCAATTGCTTGGCGACTTTATGACATAGCTATAAAAATCTGACAATGGAATATGACCTTGTGTTAAAGCAACATTAGAAAAGGTGAGGATTGATTTTTCTGTCATCGGATTGTTATTCCAAGCTTTGTTTTACAACTTTTTTAAAGAAATTAACGTTTGGGTCATAAGCTCACATTTTCAATACGCCCTCTACCAGGGCACTTCCTCTTTCCTTCGCAGTGGCCAGAACAAAGAAAAAACAACTTAGCTTTGCTTTCACAAACTCGCTGGAAACTTGCATGAAAGGATGCCTTTGCCTATGCAGACAAATGGAGAAAGTCCTGATCATGTCTCGAAGGAAGCTGAAAGATTTGAAAGCTTTTATCAGGGAATTCTAGATTTGCAAGAAGTGCTGGAGAGAGTTGAAAATGTCACTCTACGGCGGCGTATGAGAGAGATCATCAGCAGGGTTGAAGGTAAGTGCGGCACCTGAGGACAGATTTAGGCCTGCTGCTGTGGCACTACACTGAGTATCTTCCTAGGAATATTGTTTAATAATATGTTTCATGTGTGGTTATAAATTAGCTAATGCTGGTCTACAATGTTGCCTGCAATAAAAGGCCATTAACGCCGCTTCTGTATCGAATATTTTTGGCCTAGTGTATCATAATATTGGATTCAAAAGTTGCCTGTTTTGTTATTGTTTTTGTCGAAAGGCGGAAAAACTTTATTTTCCTGTTGAAACTGCAGGATACCACCAATGCAAGGTGGGTTACTGCAGAAAGTTTTCTGAAATTCGCCCCACTTCTCGTTTTTAAGCGAAAAAGCATTATTCGCTAGCACTTTGGGTTGTTCAAAATAATTCTTTTATTTGCTTTTACAATAGCCTCTTGTAACAAGAATCAAGGCTTCTCCGTAACTTGCTTAACTAAAAAGTTGATTAAAATTCCCAACTTAGACTTTAGGAATAACTTAAAATTCCTATCGATCGCCAAGTCGATGTCTACTTTCAAAGAAGCTTCAACTATGATTTTCAGGTAGGGGTCGGTAGGGTACGGTTGTGGTACGATGCAATAATTGCAATTTAGTGTTGGCACAGTGAAAATAAAGCGAGTTTTTAAAGGACGGATATTGTTTTTAGTGATGCTATTTTCCATGCCTGGTCAATACGAGCAACAGCGTCTCCGTGTTTACGACTTTCCTGTCACAGATTCTACATTAATTATGAATAATGTATTGTATCCCGCAGCCCTTGCCCGCAGTTCGTTACTGTAAATAAAAACGCTTAACAACTGGAGACGATCAGTATCCCCAACTGCGAATATTTTCCTCTGATTAGATACTTGAAATAAGGGATGTCTTTATTTTGAAAGCAAATGAGTCAGAAAGAGTTTCATTGATAACAACATCTTGGAAGTAAGTTGCGATTATCCTTGGGCAAATGGACTGCAAAGTGATCAATGAATCAAGTAATCCATGAAGCATTAGTTACATGCCAAACGTGATCACCATTCCACTACCATTGTGTCTTGGTTTCATCTTTGACCCACAGCCAAATCATGTTTGATTACAATCATAAGGTTTCCTTTGGACATGTTTCTTGCATGAAAGTGAACAGGGCTCAAGGAGTATAGTGAATTATTCTATCCACCCCAGCTTATTATTTTTATGAATGACAGTATCATCTAGATATTGCTACAATGGCAGTAGCTTCTATAAACCTGATTCTATAAAATGCAAGTCAATATATTGACTACTTAAACAATATTTTTTTCATGGGTGTCTGCATTTCATCAAACTGGTCTCCTTAAGGGGTCCTTTAGCTAGGGACATTTCATCAAAGGGGTCCTTTAGCTTTTAAGTGGAGGGGCCTTTAAGTAGAAAAAGTTTGGTTATCCGTTGTTGACAAGAAGCAACAGCCCTCTTGCCCCTCCCTCTTTTGGGGTAGTCCTCATATTATATTACAAAGTATTTTTAACCAGTGTAAGTTTTCACTAAATGCAAAAAGTGAACTATTACCATATTTTATTTACATTGTGTGTCTCCTTTATGAAGAAAAAAACAGAGCAAATATCTATCTGGATTACAAAGCTGCTGACCAAATTCGGATTTCCTAGAAGATATTGGAGCTGCTGCTTGATCCCAATATAAGACTTCAACTGCAAAACTTGACAACTATGTATTTACCATGGTCTTGTTGTTAGAAAACTTCATTAATGGCATACCATTAACACAAGAATCTATTCCTCCATTAATGATGCCACTGCAGCTGTGAAATTATGGCAATGCTTAGAATAGAAGATATCTGGCAAAAGCAAGTCTGTTAGGTTGGCTTGGGAACTTTTTCCTAGGAGTAGCAGTATGGGGGTCTAGGGTGCTTATGCCCCCAAGGTTTTAATATGACTTCTGTTGGCAGCCAGTTTCCATTGGTCACCAAAATAAAATCATTACTTCATGGATTTTTACAGGGGTAGCACCAAGAAATTCAAAGTGGGGAGGGGGGCTCCATTTGTAGGTATTATTAGGCTTGAAACCAACTTTTGAAAAACGCACAAAAATGCCTCACGATGTTTTATGGCTATGATTATAAAAGGGCACATGTTATACTAGCGAGAGGTTGTCGGAGGCCCTAGGCATATCAGAAAGAAGAAGCCTCCCTGTGAGTGAAAGTAGCAGAAATTTTTTTGCCACCACGCCCTTCAGATTCGCTTAAAATACATTTCAGAATATTTCTTGCAGTTATTTTCTTGCAATCATTTAAAAAGTTTTGCTATTTCCAAGTTATGCTTTTATTAAGTTTGATTAATTCCAGTGTTGAAATGGAACTCATTGCTTTATGAGGCCCCATAGACCTCATTCCTTGGTAATTATGCAATAAAAGGATTCATCACACTTTTCTTTTCTTCTATTTCTTTTCTTTTATTCTTTCTATGTTCTTGAAACACTTTTTTCCACAAAAGTGGGGCTTAAGATGTAGGAAACAACATTCTTTAAATAGTAATGTTGAATTCAGATAATCTCGTTGAGATGCCTCAAAACCACTCTAGGTGAAGTACATGTAATTTCATTTCACATTTTTCTGTTGGGTGTTTCATCATATCAGCAGCCATGTATAATAAAAATATTGGCACCTCCAGTAACTCCCTTCATTAACATTTTCTATAACAAGTTAAATACCTAACAAAAAAAAGGAACATGTTGTCTGGAAAATAGCTGTCCATGATAAATTTCAAGATTCTTTAAGATCGACATATGATTTCTCAGAGTCAGTTTAGTCTTATTTCCATTATTTTGATTTTTTTTCAGATTTAATAATAGGGTAACTGGCTTCCTCCTCAACTACCTATTCCCCAACCCTTGATTGATATAGAAATTTCAAGCCAAGGATAATGCCAGAAAGGTCTTGTGTCTGAACTTATTGCAATTAATGGGATACCTTGATCAGCTAGAGCTGTTAATCACATATAATACTGAAATAAAGCCATTTAAAGGGTAGAGATTCCAGAAAGATTAAACCTCAGCTGTTTTACTGTTTAATAGTCACATTTTATGGATTAAATTCAAAAGAAACTCAAGAGACAGCAAGTTCATATAAGATATTGAAGCCTGTCACATGTATCTCCGGACCTTTAGAAAATTCAGAAACTTCCATTAAAAATTTCTCTGTTACAAAGATCATTTGTGCTCAAATGCATTGATTTACTGTTAATTAAGTTCCACACTTAGTTTTTTATTTTTCAATTTTAGATGACTTTGTTAATTGCCCAGAGTTTACCATACCAAGAAACAATCCATTGAAAGAGCTCCGACTGGTATGTTTACTTTTTCTGCAGGTGTTATTCTTTCATATTATTCTTGAAGATTGACAGCAAACTTTGTCAAATGGCCACCAGGTTGGGGTCTTTTATTTCCCACCAAACAGTGCCTATTTATCTCAATTTTGCAAATTGTTCTCTGTAAGTTGACCCTTACACCTCTTGATGTTATTGAAATTTTTGGTAGCGCAAAGTCTTTATACTTTTTAATGAATTCTCATATATTAGTACTTTGAATAGTACTTTACAGTCTATTCCTAATCTAGTAAAGAAATTTATCTTGAAATGTTGCTTCCTCATATAGATCCTGACAATGGCAAGTTTCTAGCTGGAGGGTTCAGCTCTAGTTTATTGCTAACTGTAGCTAATTGATTGGCACCTTTTTATTTTGCACAGTTTTCAGATGATAATTTGCTATAATCTGTAGCGTGTTCTTGGTGAAACACTATATGATTACAGAAATTGTTTTTAAGGGAATAGCTGGAGGATCACTATCAGGGAAATCATCTTTGGTTCATCGCTTTCTTGCTGGATTTTGCCCTAGGGATGAGGTTTTGTCAGGCAGACATAAAAAGTGTATTAATGTAGATGGACAAAAATATTTGCTATTGGTGAGGGATGAGACTGGCCCACCCGACGCTCAGGTGTGCAAATTTTTGTCTTTTTTTCTTATATGTTGTCCCCCAATTATGTTACTGTTTTGTTGTGTGAAAGAAACCCTAATTGTGCTGCATGTATTGTCAGCAGGATTGTTGTTCAGTTTTAAGTACCACTTGTTAATGAGCTTTTATATCTGTATTCAACAGGTACTCCTTTAATTGCTTTCTTCGATAAATTTGGAAGAAATTTTCAACTTTCTCCTTGGCATGTATTTATGTCTATGTTACGTCTTTTAAAAAATTTGTTTAGGTAGGTTTTATGCATTACAAGCTCGCAAAAGCATAGAAAGACCTTCTATTACAATAAAGTGTTTGCACTTGTGGTTCTATGAAATACAGCAATTGCAGACCTCCCTTTTAATCTTTCCAAACATTGCTAAAAATGTCTTAAATAGTTTGAGAAAATTTTTTATCTTTGAACAAAAATAGACGCCTTCCTTCTATAAGTTTTCAATTAATTTTCAGAAAGTGGCTTTTGAAGTTTCTTAAGAACAGTTTTTAATATAAAAATTCAAGCACACTGTCACCTTTATAAACATAATCTGCTGGAAACTCTGTATTGGAGAATATTGCCATGGGCAAACATTAAGAGAAATTAACTCTAAGAAATCAGCTTAAAATGAAATTGCTTGAAAGTTCTATCACTAAGAAGCTTAAAAGATGTCTCAACTTAAGGATAAAGTGAAAGGAACCAGGACAAGAAGTTAGCAGATTAAATACTGGAAGATTATGATGCTATTCTGGTTGCTGCTGCTTGTTTTTTGTTTTTGTGACTATGTTGCTGTGAAGAAATGTAGGAGCTACTTGACTTGTGACTTTTTCATCAGTTAAACTCATAACGTTTTTATGTCTGTGTGTTCTAAGTTTTTTTGCGACGCTTTTTGCTGATAATATCTTTATCTATATTTTGTGGTTGACACGCTTTTAATCTATCATTACTGTTAAAAAAGTAGCCACACAAACAGTTTTCATCTTAGTCATTTTCTTTCTTGTTTTCTCATTACCTTTCATGTCTTTTACGTCTCTTTGTATTACTTCACCAAGCTTGATCGCTTTTAAATGTTTGACTATGTTGCTCTGTCAAAAATGACCGCTTCCTGTCAAATTTCTTCACCATCAATGTTGAAAGAATATCTCAAATATTTTTGTACATTGGCCTTTTGGGGAACGCTTTAAGGTAATCGATTGGAACAAAGATGATGTCGTAAACAAAGTAAAAAATAGACCAGATGGATATGGTAATGCCTACAGCTGCTTAATTTGAATCACGACATAAAAATGCGGGACATAGTTAATGTTTCGCGTAAATTAGGATATCAAAGATTGATATTGTAGTTATAAAACAGTCTATATAGGCTATATGTTCATGTAGCAGCTATCAATTCCTTTTATAATATTCGCTTAATGTTTATTACAGTTTTCACGATGGTTGGATGCAGTAGTGCTCGTTTTCAGTTATGCAGACGAACTCAGCTTCAACGTAATATCAAGCTATTATGCAAAAATGAAAGCTTACAGAAACGGCAATTTGCCTATGATTCTAGTTGGAATCAAAGGTTAGTGAATTGTATTGATTCCTGCCCATGCTTCTTTGCCAACTCAAACTCTATGTTTTTTTCGAATATTGCCACTTCCTTTTTACCACTACCACCCCTTCCCCCTTTCATGGAAACAATGATGGAAGTTCACGTTAATATCACACAGGTTTCACGAGAAGAAAAGGTTTCTAAACCCCCAAACTTTGCTTTATCTTAGACCAGCTTTGTTTGCAATTGGAGATGAGTGGTTGAACTTGACTTTGTAAATTGACATATTGATTTTAGTATTGAAGACATTTTTTGTAATTTAAGCTGCCACTGAATGACTAGAGAATAGAGTTGCGAATCGAAGCATCTCAAAATGTAATGGTCTATCCATGTTCTAACGCAGCTGTCCAACATAGACTCTCTATAAAGTTTTAATTGCTTGCAAAAATTAAGTGTTCGTTCGATTAGTCTCACGCGTTATTAAATGTGTTTTCGTCTTATCACAATAACGCTTTACTTAATACCCCTGGAAAAGAACCCTGAGGTATTACAGAAAAGTTATCTTATCAGCTTTTAGATTAAGTAATGTATTCACGAATTAATCTAGCCTTGTTACTTTTTTTGCGCCCATTCTTGGGTTTTTGAAGTTTAACTAGAAATTTAGGCTACTTGCCAGAGAAACTTATTGCCTTCACCTATTTAACTATAGATTAAATTTCACTTGGCAAGCAAATTCGCAAGATTAAGTCCTCAAGTCTCACTACTCCTTTTCTACATTTACTATTTTCACTGACCTCGAAGATAATAATAAGTGTATACATGTTTCCTGGGTGACTAAAAAAATTTTTTCTTTCACAAATTTCAATGAGGTGCAAAAAAGGATATTTTTCTCCGTAGTAATTTGTCAGAGGTCTCCAAAAAGAAGCCATATTGAATTGTTATTCATATTTTGCCTAAGCAGTTTTGGAACTGTTGACCCCTCAAGATGGAAGCGTTTTAGGATCTGTCTGATCTTGATTAGCAGAGAGCTTATAAACAGTCTTTCTTGGTATTGAACAATAGATCCTTTTTCTCCTGTTTCTCAGGAATCCCATTTCGCATGACAAAGTAGCCAGTTTCTGAGGTTACGAATTATTCATAAGTAGAGGTCGAATTTCCAATTGCCGTTCTTAATATTTTAGGTTTATCCTTGATATCCAGTCTTTGGTAGCCGAAAATTTTGATTAATCCCTGTTAAAAACAGTATCTCTAGTTATGCCCTGAAGCCTTTTATCTTTTTGCTCAGTTTGAATTGATTGGATGCCGTCAAGGCTTTTAAAGATGTCCACTATTCTTCTATTAGCTGTGCAAAATTTACTTGCGAATTTTAAAAAACAGCCCATTTAACTCACTGTTTATCTAAGTCCGCAAAAACCATATTATCCTTAAATTTTTTCTTAGATGATACATTCTCAGAGACGCAGAGTATGATAAACAATGCCAGAATTAGGAAGTTCATCCTAGACCATAACAACTGTCCATTTTTTCTCGCGTCGTTGGAGACTGGGGAGAGTGTAAACGATGTGTTTCAAACAGGTTAGCTCACCTATCTTTTTATTATATTAGTCAAAGATAAACAAGGCTGTTATTTGATTTATCAGTTCATCAAACACCAAAAACGGCTTTGTGTTGCAAGATAAATGTTAAACGGGGTTTTTTCAACATATCGTTGTTTTATCTTGCACAACTGTATTTTTATCTTTTCTTATCTTTTCCAGCTATTTGTAATCGTTGATTAGTTTAACTTAGCCAGCGTTGCTTGGTAGCGTGGAGTGTAATTCACTTTGTAGAATCAGTTTGGACTAAAGCGTTTTCATCTCTTGCCTTAAAAAAGCAGTTTACTCCAAAGATAATTCAAAACACTGCTTGAAGTGTATCCCAACGTCCAATAACATTGATATTGAACTGCTATTTTTACTTTTTTCGCTATTTCACTGTTTTTGTCTTTTATTTTCTTTGTACTTTACCTAAAAGCAGTACAAAGTACAACAAGAGTTCTACTGTGATCTTGTTCAAGTTTGTAATTTTTATCGCCATTTTAAGCCACAATTTGCCTCAAAACTGTTGTTATTAAAAACATTAAAGTAATTTTTTGTTTGCATTCCTCGTGGTGGAAATTAGTAACGCAAGAATTTCTTTTGTTTAAATGTTTACAGACAAAGAATTTTCATTCTTATAAGAAACAATTTTTTCACAACTTTGGAAACATTGCAAATCCAATTGCTCTAAGCCTTTTCATCCGCAGTTTCTTTGTGCCTAGTCGTTTGGATATTTTAGACAGCTTCTGGAATTGTAAAGAAATTACATTATTTTAAAAGCGCCTCACTGCATATTTGCTTATAAAATAATCTTTATTTAGTTCACCATCAATGCTCGTATAGATACATCCGGGGGTCAGTGCCTGATGTTTAAAGGCAGTATTATCACAAACCAGGTGGACCTTGAGCCAAGACTGGTCTTTGGGCTTCCACGGTGATGCATATTCTTTTAGAAGAGGACCTCTCCGATTTGGCTTGTGAACGAGGCGATGTGTCTCATTTGTGACATTGAAAACAAGCTAAAACTGAACTAGCAATTGAAAATTTTATCATGCTTTACACATGAATTTTGATCTCCAACTAGCGCAGGAGAATTCTTTAAGCATTTATACGGATCCTTTGCGCCCACCTGACCCTAAGGCAAGGGGCCCTTTGCCCCACCAACAACACCTTAGTGGGTTAGTTTTAAATTCAGCCTATGGCGATTGTATACACTGATAAAAACAAGTCTTTTGTGTGTTACCCAACAGGTGATAAACATCTGGCTTTATGTATATACAGAATACGAGATGGATGGGAAGGGCTATGTTTTCTCACCATCTCTATTTTACCTTCCAGATAGCTAGTTGTTAGCCAACTGTGCTAAAAGCCACATTAGTTCAGCTATCAACAACACCGATCTTTTGATAATGTCTTTTCCCGATTGATTGGCCAAATTTTTTGAGTCCCTCTCCTAATAAAGGATTGCGAAAGATGTCTTCGAAATAAACACTGAAAATTCCATGTTTGTTTGGCTGTCAGGATTTTTGAGGAGAAGCAGAAGAACCAGTACAACATTCTGGTGACGGCTTGTGACTAACCTTTGTTTTAGTGGTCAGTTTCCCATAAACCTACATTTCATTATTAAATAAGCTTCTAGTACTGCCAAATTTCAAAACAGTGCTAAAAAGCAGAGCATAGCATAAAGTGCTGAAACCCTTTTTGCCAGACACTCTTTCCGCGAGTGCAAACATCGATTTATCACAAAATGGTACCCGGAAGTTTAGATCCAGGTGCAGATCGAAGGTAACGCTAGAGAAATAGCGCGTTTGATTATTTACAGTATTTACAGGAGTTGATATGAGAATATGAACTCCATACGTGTATGTGTTTCTCTCTCTCCTTCGTAGAGTCGACGTGGAGGCTTATTGAGCCAACCTCGGTCTCGTTTTTGCGGATCCACACCCTTGTTGAGATACACCAATTCTAATTACGCACTTTTATGCGACTTTTTTAAGCTCAGATTTAGTTTCATCACCATAGTTTTATGCCGGATGCAATTTTTCATATCGTTTATGCTTGTATTTTTATTTTACGGAGAAATGGAGTCTGGAAACTTGTAAGAGATTTGACCGCAAAAATCATTCCGGGTGAAACTTTACCCCCCTAGTCGCCAATCACGGTCAAATCTCTTATAAAATGTTTATCTTCTTGTCGTCATAAAATCGATATCGTGAGCAATACCATAATTAAAACTTCCAAATACACTAAAATCGTTGCTCTCAATCCGAATCTGAGGTCAAAAATTTTGTAAAAATGAATTTGAAGAATTTTTCAAAATGAGACCGTAAGTTGAATTGGTGTATACAACTGAATACATAAAATGGAATAAAACATTTTCAAGGTTAAATTGTTGACTTTTCAGGTTGATCTAATCTTGCAACTCGGTTGGAATCTTTAAGATTTATTAATTACAAAAGAAGATTTTTTCTCAAAGTCCGTTTTGGTTTTTCATGCTAAACCGAAAGGCGCAAATTTTGCGCTATCTTCTTCAATAATTTATGTTGCAAGTGCCACAGATATGAAAAAACAAAGATTTTGTTAATTACATTGTTTGACAGTAAGGAAGGTTTGTATATAGGGACCTTTTGGCAATATTTTTTTGAATGCTTGTGCATGAGTGTGTCACTTTGGATATTTGGTAGAGATACCTAGAGACCTCCCTATATAGGAAACTCCAAAAAATACACGGGGAATTGATATTTTTTTACGAAAAAGATCTTGCTTACGTCTGAAGAGCAATCCTACCTGTAACTAATTTTTTCGTATAGAGGGGGGAATAAATAAGTTGTGGAAGAGGGGAATAGTTGCAATCGTTTGGTAGTTTTTGCTAGAAACATTTAATGTCCTCGTAGATCAAGTAAATCTCCTTGTCATTGCCTAATGAGTCTTTGGCCGAACTCGAATCACCAGCAGCACCCATTTTAGCTGAGCCCAGTAAATCATTTCTCTATTCAAAAGCCAAGGTTTGCAAAAAAAAACATTTTTAAGTTTTTATCGCCTCAACGTCAAAAGAACTAGCGGCATCAGCCGATGGGCACCATAAAGTCATATTGTATTGTAATGGATATCATTCAGTAGGGATCAGGATATAATGCTGGTGGGGCTACGATTGGCGTAGTCTTATAGGTTTTTCTTCAAAGACTAAAGCACAGTTATGGTTTTTTCCTTAATTCAGGTTGTCGTTACCTCAGAAGGTGCTCCTGAAGCGAGAGGCTAAATTTTTAATTTTTCAAGCTTCATATCATCCAAGAAAATTCCATCCTTTTTTACCGTCTGTGAAGCCTCCGGAAAGCATAATCTCTTAGTCTAGCTTCTAACCTAGGCAGTGATTTCATTAAGCATTGATGGTGCTGGAATCTTCGGCTACCTTCAAGCATAGGCAGTTTGATGTTTGCACTGAAACAAGTCAGATTTCATATAGATTCGAACATTAGTTGAATTCAATGCCATGAAAGGAGTTTATTAATTCCCTAAATGTGACACTTGCCGCTGGTGAATAAAAGCTCTTTGTAGACACAATATGCATTGCTCATGCGAAGAAAGATTTAACTTTGCAAACAGTTTTTACAACCTTCTTTCTTTCAATAATTTATTCGCCGATTCAGGGTCCGATCTTTACCTCGTTTGACTTGTAATACGACGCCACGATCTACAAACGGAGAATTGAGCATGTGCCATTGTACCCCCGTTTTTCGGATATACGGTTGGCTTCTGAGTTGGGATAGAGCAGGCTGGTATATTCATAGTTTAAACTGTTAGTAATTTGCTGTTTGTTCTTTCGCTGGGCGTAGAGGATATGATTTGCTCCAGGCAGCTTATCTAAACTCGATAGATCGGCCCGCCATTGCTTTGTTATGTCTCTGATGATATCAATGACTTTTAAATCAAAGTTTTGAGCAGGAATGCATGCCTGCAGTTGGTCGCAGCTTTTTGGTTGTCCAGCATGTTTCGATCTGGATCATACACTTTGTTGTCCGATCTTCTGGAGCTGTTTGACCGTATGTGAAATCAAAGTTTTACTATGATTTGACAGTTTGTGCTTTTTAGAAAATCAATCGAGTAATTTTGTAGTGTTTCCTTAATTTTGACAATCGTAGAGATACTCAAGACTTTTCTCTTTAAATGTTTTATCGGCGAGAGCCAAGATTAATGGCTTTTTCAAATACTTATGTTGAAATACTTCCATGTTAAATGTTTTGTATGAGACAATTTCCAAAACGACTTGCTTAGAGTGGCCACGCGCAGACATTAACAGTAATTTCAACAATGCGGGAAGTATCGTTTCATAGCCACCATTGATCTTCCAACAGTAGTAAGTGTTAATATTATCTTCCAACAGTAGTAAATGTTTGTCAATCCTGTCTTCTGTTTGATAACGCAGAGGTTTTTCTAGTGTGTCCGTTTGAGTTCCTCTAATCTCCTGGAGACTTGGAAATTGTCACGATGTGCCAAAATACCTCTAACTACATCTGTATGCTGGCATAGCGGAAGAGGGTGAATAGGGGGGGGCATAGCCCCCAATTTTTGCTAAACGAAATTTCACGTATTAGAATATGGATCATCATTAGTAGGCACTTTGCAAAATTTCCGATTCGACCCCGAAAAGTCAAAGGTCCCTGTAATACAAGGGGTGGTTTTGCGGCAGAAGTTGTGACTTCCCTAAATTGGAAATACTGGCAACTGAGGCAAAAGCGATAGAATTTTTATTTGCTTTATATGGTGTAAGGTTTTAATGGTGATTCAGCTCAAATGTAGTATTCAAACATTGATATTGTTTTCGGAATTTTTTAAGTTACACAGTTATTGCTCCAGTGTTTTTATTTTGATGAAGAAAATTCTAAAAATCACGCAAGTATATAAGATTATTGAAATGTTTTACATTTAAAATCATTTAATATGAAAGACGCTGTTCATCATTTAAAGTAGCTCAAAAGACCTATTTTTATTAGAAACTTA